TGCCTCGTCATCTGAAGCGCGGGGCTGCTCATCTTCTTCTTCCCATTCACCTGAGACCACATCTTCTTCTGCATCTTCGACCGGCTCTGCTGGTGGATCACCCCCTTCTCCTCCTTCAAGAGGTACAGGTACCGTTCCGATAAGGGCATACTTGACCTTTCTCCCGGTGCCTGCATCATCTCCAGCCGAGAAGGGGCCAGCAATATCCACGTTGAGGACATAAGCCGGTATATCGGCCTTCAACCTTCTATGGGGCCGATCTATGCCCGCTTCCTGCATGCAAACCCGGCACCTCCGATTGAACGGAGCGTGTCCCCTTTTCACATGCTCCTTCCACTTTTCAAGGGTCATCTTCTTGAGCTCCCCCGTGTCTGCTACCTTGTCCCTTGAACCTTCCTCCAGTTGATCAATCATCACCTTCAGGGACTTCTTGATCGCTGCCACCATCCCAGGGGCCCATTTCGACCAGGTCCTCGTCTGCACCAACCGTCGCTGTAAGTCCGCCTCCATCTCTTGATGGCCTTGACCCTTAAGTCCATGAAGCTCCCCCATGCCGGGCAGATTGGTCGCCAGCGTAGTTGGTTTCCTCCGGGGGTGGCCAGCTGCCCCTTGATCTAGGTCCACCAAGAGCATTCCATGATCCCGACAGAACTCGCGCACCTCCTTGAAGTTCCAGAACGAGGGGATGTCAAGCTCCTCTGCCTTTGGATCGTACTTGGCCGGGTCCATCGGAGACTCCCCCAGGAACCCAACCGGTTTTCCTCTCCTCCATGAAGAGTCCTCGGCGATCAACCACAAAGCCATCTGCTTGAAGAACAGTGCCGTATCTCCATGGACCTTCCTTCTGTCCTCTATGGACAAGCCTGGCAGTCCATACCGACGTTGGTCCCGGCCCCTCAATGGCTTCGGTCCTGGCTGATTGTGCCGCAACCTGGAAATAGTCCGGCATGGTGGTCCGCCGATCACTGCCCGAATCAGTCCTTTCTTCCCAAGGTGCCAAAGGTATCCCCACAAGGCCGCATCATGAAGGTTCTGCCTCGCATTCTCCTCCATGTCTATCGTGATGACCTCGTAGCCTCTCCAATCTTCCCTTCTCCATTCTTTGGCATCCCTTCCGGCGAAGAGGTGAACCACCAGCCCCTTGCTTCTTTCCCATCTTCTTCTCAAGCTCCTGTTGAAAGGGCTCCGAGCGGCTGCTTCTGCTCCGTCCTCTACTCGGCCCATGAGCTCCAGCACCTCCTCCGGAAGATGCGGGAAATGCCGCAGCCACCATTCCCGATCCTTGGTTACCGCCGCGTGCCCGCCCGGGGCATCCAGGTAATCCATCAACTTCATCGCCGCTGACCGTTTCATGACCGGGCACCCATGACGAAGCCAACAATGAAGCCGACCGTGTCCAGGGTGATCGATGATGCAGCCCTTGGCATTCCACTTGACCACAAAGCCGGCATTGACCAACATCCTCAGTGGTATGATGGGCTCCACCGGATCCAGCGTCAACAGGGCCGACGTGCCAGGGTGCTTGTACAACACCGTGCTTCCGCAGGCCAACTCCACTTCCACTGCCGTTAGATCGCCTCTTTCGTGCGACCTTGCTTGCCTCAAGGCATGCGTTGCCCCTCCGTCCAGGAGGGCAACTGGCTCCAACTCCTCAGCTCCAGCCTGTCTCTTGGCTGCCTCATACTTGATCTGGAGGGCCTTCATCGATCTCAATGATTTCAGCAAGCCCTTCAGACATCAACCCAGCTGCCTCCGCAGCATCTGGCGGCGGCTTAGGCGTTCCTCCGCCCATGGCCACCGAATTCGGCGGTGCGGTGCTGGGAATCCGACCGGTGACCTCCGGGACGCCTCCTCCGCGGAGCCCGGTGAGCCAGCCTGTCGGGCCCCTTCACCGCCTGCGCCAGAGCCTTCTCCCGAAGACCTTGCATCCTTCTGCTTCTCGAACTTGGACACCTTGGGAGGGGCCGTTGCTGTCGTCTTGCTCGTGCCCCAGTCCCATTTCTTGACCGGGCAATCCCGCTTCGAGTGGCCCACCCCAGAACATCCGAAGCACCGGTTGTTCTTCTCCAAGCCATCCCACGAATGGGCGTAGCTGCAACTGCCACCCTTCTTGCATCCTCCATCTGTGCCCCAAAACCTGCATGGTGCCCCGAATGACCTTTTCTTCTGGTCTCCCGTCTCTGCAACCGGATCCTTGGCTCCAGAAGTCGCCAGGGCCTTGAGTCCCGCCGCTGGCTGAGTTGGATTGGCCGCGTTGGTCGTGGATGAGGTTTTCAGGGCTGTTGCAAGTGAGAGTTCTTCCGCCTCCGCCTGCAAGTACTCCGAGAACTGCTTGATCTTCGCGAGATGAGGGCGAACATCAACTTGAAGTTCTTGGCGAACCGAGGAGATCCGAAAGCTGGCTTGAGCACCCGCTTTCCCGACTGCTTCCGCAATCTTGTTCAGGACCGTCAGCAACACCAAGCCATCTGGTAGTGCCACCTCCAACTCCTCTGCCCTCGCCAACCATCTCCTCCACAGCCTCAACGTCTGCAGAGCCTCCGTCAACGTGTTCCCCACCTTCGGATCTGCCAGGTTCTTGAGCAGGTTGCCTCTCTCCGACGTCCCACCTGGCTGATATATCTGGTGAAGGCGAAACATGATCTCCGTGGCCGACATTTTCCTTGCCGAGATGATTTCTCTGCGGATTGGGTCAGGCAGTGCAGCAAGTAGCATGGAAAGCCCCCGTTGCTCCACCCGGTGATTGTGGACATGTTTCTCCCCCAACGAAGGCTTCAGCCTCAGCTTCTCCAAGGGGGTTGCAATCAGCCACTCCGTGTAGGTGGATTCTGCTCGTTGAAGAACATCCTTCCACCACTCTTGAGCTGAACCTGCAATGTCCGCCATCAACGGCCCGATCACCGTCACCCAATCTCCAAAGGTCAACGCTGCCAGATCTCCTCCAGGGGGAGGCAGACTAGGCAACTCCAAATTCCTCAGAGCCTCCGACAAGTGAGATGGAGCACTCGGCTTATTGTCGTCCAATCCCCTCGGAGGTGGTGGTGGTGGTGGAGGTGGCTGAGGTCGATTTCCTTCATCATGAAGCGGTGGAGGACCAAGACCTCCAACGACTCCTCCTTCTGATGCCGTCCTGTAGGAAACATCGTCCCTCGTTCTCGCCGCCTGCAATCTCGCCACTTCTCTTTCGAAGATCTCCTCCGCGTCCCTCATCACCCGTAGTCGCAGAGCTTCAAGATCTTCTTCTTGACCCTGTTGCCGTCCTCGGTCATCGGTGGTCGCCCTGCCAGCAGACACAGGTTGTGCTTGGGCGGCCCTTCTTTGAACCTCAGGGCTCCAAAACGGGTTCACCCCACCACCTGCTGGTGCATCTCCAGGACCATAAGGACCTCTCCGATTTCCACTCAAAGTCTCCCGACCATCATAGGGCTCCAACTGCCTCGGCCTGACTTCCCATTCCTGGCCTTGACCTTGATGAGCCGTTAGTTCTCGACTAGCCGAAGGACGCCCGTCAGGTGGTCCACACAGTTGACCATGCCCTTCAGGTTCTCCCGAATCATGACCATGCCTTACTCCCGGATGTCCTTGGTCTTCTCCACCAGCCAGGAATTGCCCTTGGGGTACTACAGCATCGTGCCCGCCGTGCACCCAGAACGTCCTCGGATTTCCTGAGGTAGCCCGCTTGGCCCAGGTCCTTCGCCAGACCCACGCCCTCGAGACCCACCAGGATGGAATTGACCCCCACCCCGATCTTGAATTGGTTCACCTGGCCGTTCCAGAATCCGCTCCTGTTGGCCGGGTTGTTCTCCTTGTCCAGGGGGCCCCCGTAGAGCTCCTTGCCCGCGGCGTCCATCTTCTGCCATTTCCGGCACCAGCCCGGGAGGGGGAAGAACATCCCTTCCGCCCCGAGGCTCACTCCGTTCCGGACCGGTGACCCGGCGAATCCCCCGCCGGTCTTCCAGATCCTCCGACCTCGCCCTCCGCGATGCCCGCTCCTCCTCGTGCACCCGCTCCATGATGAGGCGGTCCAAGGCCTCATCTGCGGTCTCCCCATCTCGTACCACTTCTCGCCGGCGCCTGCGAATCATGGCTTTACCTCAGAGAGTTTGGGCTCATAACCTATGGTTATGTCTATGCAAAAAGATCACGCTTTTTCCAGCGCTTGAGCCAATGGCAGTCGCCATTGAATGGTTCCGTGTGCATCATGTTTCTGTTGAACATGCACAGAGACAAACCCAAATGCCCCAAACCAATTCGTCAAACCAACTAAGCAACTGCTTCCCTGTGGTTCTTCTTTAAAACAGTCTTTACAAAGGGAGCCCTTGCACAATGGCACGCTTGGCCAAACCTGTCTCTGAGGAGGACACACAGCCGCGAACTTCATCCGGTAGCCTGAGTCAAGCGAAGGGACATTGGCAAAGGGGCACCGCCAAGGTCGAACTAAGCCAGGATGTCGATGGCTTTCGGAAATCAACCTGGCTATCTGCGACCTGGATGTGTCAGATTTTGGAAAGTCATCCCGAAATGGAACGGTTTCCTTTGGGTGTACCCTTCATAAGCCTTCATATTGTCAATGGGTCCCGTGGAAACCCAAAACCGACCTTGCGAATGACTCCCCGGAACCAAAAGGGGGGGGGTCCCTCAACAGCTGCTTCTTTGGATTCCATGTCAATCTGCAGTAGGGTGCCTTGGGAGCATTCCTTTGAACATGAAACAAGCAACAGGCCCGAAAAGGATGTGTATTTTGGCAGGCTTGATATCTGCAGATCAATCACAAAGTAGAAAGAATAGGCTCCCCCCAAAAAGACATGCCAAGATCCCGCCCAAAAAACAAGCTGGATAGACTGCCAAGATTCGGCAAACACCCAAATAATAATAAAGAAAAAATAAAAAATAAAACACAACCAAATGAACAAAGAAGCAAGCAAACAAGCCAACAAGAACACAAACTCAAAAACCCTTGGAAGCAGTCAACATGAACACCTCCTTCCCATCCGTTCAGCTCAGGTGCCCGAAGCCAACAGCTTCTGGATCATGGCCTGCGTGGCCTCACGACTCGGCGTCAACCCGTTTGGCGGGGGCCCCGTGGCAAACGAGCCGTGCGTGGAGACTTCAGGCACCCCGAGCCGTTCACGGTTGATCTCAATATTTCATCTCAAAGGCGCCCCCTTTCTTGACCATGAGGAACTTTCATGGTGGAAATAGCAGATATGTTTGTTTCGTGGTGTTCGAACCACATGTTCATCTCAGTGGTTTTCCCAGCAATGGTCATGTATGTTCACCGGACATTTTGATGACCCCCTATGTCCGGGTTCCCCACCCAGCCAGTTATAGGGAGGGTCCCTTGTACTCAAATGACCCAACCTCACCTAGGGCTTCTGGCTGATTTGACCCAGGCTCCATAGACCGCATCCAGTCACAATCACCACCTGTTGGCTGAAAGCGGTCTACCCAAAACCCGAGATAGTAAAGAATCAAGACGCCGGACATCCTCACCAAACCTGCATCTACCAAGTGCTTTGGGTTTCGGGTATGGACTAACTGAGGTGTTGACTTCTTGCAATTTGTGTTTTCTGGCTGGGACTGTCTCATAGCCGTCATCTACCTTAATCATCACCGGACCCTCCATGGAAGGGTTTTGGACACCATTGAAAGGGCTTGGACCTCAAAAGCGGCCTTTTGAGGTCCCATGATTCGTAGGGTGGGTTTTGATTGTGGCCAAAGAGCATCGAGTTTGAGCCCCTCACCGAGAACTTGGACGCGGAGTCAGGGATGATGAGATTGGTGCGCTTCCTTCCGAGAGGGTGGATCCCCCGGCCATATTCCAAGCACACCAACGATACGCGACCACAAAACCATGGGGAAAATAGGGTCGTTCCCTGACTTGAAATATTCAGGGCATTGGCCGGAGATCTCACAGCTCACAGCTTTCTGCAAAAACAAACAACGAATCAGATGCCAAGTTTGATGCACCCGAAACCCCGAAAAAAACCACCTGAAACCTGCAGAACTTGATTTGGAGGGTCGAATCGGAGCTCAACGAGAAACCAACTGCAGCTCAGTTCCTCACTAAACCCACAAGTTTGAGAAACTCGTTTTTGTTTCTTCTCCTTTTATTTATTGTTTTTCTCTCTGGGCGCAAATGACAGTACAAACCCTTTGAGAGGCTGGAAACAGGACCACACATGCTGAAACGGGTCTCCTGATGGCCTCCTCGACGATTCGGCTCTTCACCTGACGGAACCCCTCAGCAAAAAAAACAAAAACCAACAAACACCGACGTCTGTATACCTGGCCCGCAAAAAAAAAAGGAAGGGAACACGGGGAAAATTAATTTCACTTCGGCACGGACTATATCGGACTATATTGTGTTGCATATCTAGTATATCCTACATGATAGGGGCCCTAACACATAGACGAGTTTTGGAGGAGTTCAAGGTTCAGGAATCTCCTTTTGGGCTCGACCCCGCTTAGTCGATTTCTTGTAGGGGAGTAAGGTTTGCCAAACCGCTGCGAGGGGTGGGTGAGCTCAATGATGATGATCAGGATTGGCATGTGGCATACTTGCAATTGGGAAGGGGACTGTCCTGGACCTGCAAACCATGTCGGTACCAGGATGGCGCTTGAAAACACGACAATTCGAGCTCGTCCCCTGGTTGCGAGAGATTGAGTGAGTCCCTTCCCACCCCAACTGGACCATAGCCGAATCCGGACAGTTTAGACTGAACTTGCCTATCGCTGTGTGGCTGTTTGAAGGGACCCCCTCCGAAGATAAAATGACGTTGTTCCTTCTCGCGTCCCTGGAAAAAACCACAAGGGGCTTTCCTAAAACAAAGAGTCCGTAGAGTTACGTTGGACGCCTTGTCCATGGGCTGCTTAAAGTAGGCCTCGAAATAGTCCGAGAACCTCTGGCAGCGCGAAAACCGATCGATGCGCGATCCGCGATCCCGCGCGTGGGCGCAATAACCATAGGGTGCCAACAGGGTTCAAAGGAAACACTTTGGATTCAAATTCAGAACCGCCCCAATATCGGACATATACTTCCAAGGTTTCATGTACCAGACGATTTTGAGGTCTATCCTTCTTTCGGGTAATTTACTTCACGGTCTGTGCAGCTGTATTTGTTTCGAGTGGGAGCCTTTTTGTCTAGTGGCTTGCAGCTCCGCAGACTGCGCTACTGCCTGAGATGGAGATGGAGAGGATGGCGGAGGGTGGGCTGGAGATTGTTTTGTTGCTAACTTACTTGGTTGGCCGTCCGATCGCTGTTTCCCATGGGTTGATGGTTCCCTGAAGAAAAGAAGCATGTCAAACCTGGTTAAAAAATAATGGCCTACCCAGAACCATGTACAGAAAAAAAAGGGGGCGGCGAAGGCACCCATTTGTGGCAAAGGGATTCTTCCTTGCCAACCCTCATCTGCCCGGGTTTTGAGCACGTGGTCAGTTGATGCTTGAAACCGTCAAGCAAAAACTTTGGAGCACTGCGTGGGTCGCAGCTAAGCCTGGCACCCTGCGAGCTTCAACGATCTTGCAAGGGCAATGGCCTCAGCAGGGCACACCACCTGCACGATCCGCCTGTCCGAAGTGAAATCAGCAGGCAAATATGCAAACAAACGTGTGTCTGTGCGTGCGTGCGTGTGCGTGTGCGTGTGCGTGTGCGTGTGCGTGTGCGTGTGCGTGTGCGTGTGCGTGTGCGTGTGCGTGTGCGTGTGCGTGTGCGTGTGCGTGTGCGTGTGCGTGTGCGTGTGCGTGTGCGTGTGCGTGTGCGTGTGCGTGTGCGTGTGCGTGTGCGTGTGCGTGTGCGTGTGCGTGTGCGTGTGCGTGTGCGTGTGCGCGCGTGTGCGTGTGCGCGTGTGCGTGTGCGCGTGTGCGCGTGCGCGTGCGCGTAAAGGCCGTTGCGTGTGTGCGTGTGCGTGTGCGTGTGTGCGTGTGCGTGTGCGTGTGCGTGTGCGTGTGCGTGTGCGTGTGCGTGTGCGCGTGCGTGTGCGTGTGCGTGTGCGTGTGCGTGTGCGTGTGCGTGTGCGTGTGCGTGTGGGTGTGGGTGTGGGTGGGTGTGGGTGTGGGTGTGGGTGTGTGTGTGTGTGTGGGTGGCTAGGTAGGTAGGTAGGTGGGTGGGTGGGTGGGTGGGTGGGTCCCTGGTGGGTGGGTGGGTCCCTGGTGGGTGGGTGGGTCCCTGGTTGGGTGGGTGGGTCCCTGGTTGGGTGGGTGGGTCCCTGGTTGGGTGGGTGGGTCCCTGGTTGGGTGGGTGGGTCCCTGGTTGGGTGGGTGGGTGGGTGGGTGGGTGGGTGGGTGGGTGGGTGGGTGGGTGGGTGGGTGGGGTGGGTGGGTTCCTGGTGGGTGGGTGGGTGGGTGGGTGGGTGGGTGGGTGGGTGGCTGGCTGTCTGGCTGGGTGGGTGGGTGGGTGGGTGGGTGGGTGGGTGGGTGGGTGGCTGGCTGGCTGGCTGTCTGGCTGGGTGGGTGGGTGGGTGGGTGTGGGTGGGGGTGATGATAATAACATACCTGTATGAATGTGTGTATTATATATATATATATATGTGCCAAACCCAGCTTCAGCTCTTGGGGAGGTGCTTGAAAGAAAGAACCGACTGCAATTCCTGTCACTCAAAAGGCTCGCTTTAACTCCCATCCCGGGGCCTTCTGCCAGCTTTGGCTCTCTTGGCGGATGAAGCTGCCGTCGATCACCAGGGCTCCTAGAGGCACCTGCGCCAATTCCCGTTCGGTCTTTAGCTGAAAGCCTGGTCCCAATGCCCAGCTTTGCGGTAGAACTTGCCATGACCCCAGATTTTTCCAGCTGAAGGTCTGGTTCCAACGTGTGGTTTCTGTGTAGAAGTTGGCCCCTAAACGCCGCGCAAAGGTCGACAGCTGCCGCCGTTTCACCCATCGCCACTCCTTCCGGGATCCTCACTCTTCAGCGCCAGGGCCCAGATCGCTGCGCGGGAATTTCTGGGAATCCGACATGAAAACAAGAGGCGAAGCCGTGAAACCCGGCAAACATCTCAAGAGCACATAAGGGAAGTATGGGGGAAATTGGTCGCAGCCCGAGTTTGTTGGAAACTTTCTGGTCCCCCCCAGCCACCCAGAATTTTTTCCCCAAACCTCACTTCGCAGATTTCTCGTGCCAACTGCACCCGGCTCCTCCAGCTGCGGCAGCAACGTGGTCTTCCCAGCCGCCGAAGGCCCCAGCCTGAGTTCACGTTGCGACAGCCGCAGGCCCGCAGGGTGCTGTGGGACAGTGGGCGATTTCTGCGTGGCTTTCAAACCCGCCACCCAGGCTTACCCGAATTAAGCAATTCAGCATCCGAACATAACCCACCCCCGAAACCCGAAACCCGACATCGCCATAGGTTGAACCCGGAAAAATCCCCCGGTTGTTTTTGTCTATTAGGCTGTTGGCCCAAGGACACCTTCTAAAATGGGACGTGCCCGGTCCCAATAGACTCTCTTCAAACATATTGGGCCTACGTGCTTTTGCCCCTCTCTCAAACAACCCTTTGAAAACTGATCTCTCTGTTAAGCATGTCGCGGGTTCTCCAAAATCCTTCCCCGATACAACGAAGCCAGGCATGGACAAAACTCTGGCGGTCTCGGCCTTCTCACTTGCCCAGTTCAGACCTGGACATCAAAGGTTAATCCTTGGGGGCCTAGACTATAAGAATGAACCAAAATGGTAAAACCAAAAGGTCACAAAGCCGGATTTGGCAACTGAGCTTTATGTCATGACTCCCCTTGGCCTTTGCCAACTTTGCCAAGCGGTGTAGTTTCTCTGCATCCCCGAGGACATGCGATGGTAGAAGCGAACTACTCTCATCCAATCTCGGAATGTCGGCCAACAGACTACTATTCCCAGAAAGCTTGAATGGACCTCATTTCAAAGCCCAGTGAATGCAATTACGGCTACAATAGGTAACCAGAAAAAAGAAAAAGAAAAAACACATCCATGAAAGAGTCCAAGAGGAAAATCATGGTTACCTACTATGGTGCCTGGATCCACTGGGAAGGGGAAACCATACCAGTGGATTTGGGAAGGGGGCGTTGAGTCTTCTGACGCCTGGACCCATCTGAGCCTCCGACAAGAGGTATGCCTCCCCATCATATCTCGGCTCGCCAGTTCTCATGGCATTTGCCACCTGATCAGATTGACATGACAGCGGATCGATTTGCCTGGCTTTGGTAGCCCAGGGCTTGCCACTTTCAAAACCAAACGGACAATGGGTTACCTACCATATAAGGGAAATTAACTGGGATTTACGGAGGAAAGGCATCCCAAGATTCCATCCCACAATCTAGCTATAGGAATGGGCTAGGATTTGGAAATAAAGTTCAGAGAGTTGTTGGAGGTAACATGGGGGGTGTCTTCTACAAGTTGGCTTCCTCTTCAAAGGTATCCCAAACCGGCGTGACACACTCGGCCTTCTCTGCGAAGCCGTTGTCCATCAACTCAGCCTCTGCAAAGCGCTCAGATCACTTTCGAGGTGCCATTGGTACCACAGAAAGTTCCTGGATTGCCGTGTGTGTTTTTGTTGTCGGGACAGAACCCGGATTGCTCACCTTCTTCCGTATGGTATTTTGTTCTGGCCGGTGGCTGTATTTGGCCGTACGCAGCTCAGATTTGTTCAACAAGATGTTGACAAAAAGCCGTGCATATATAGCCATTTTGAGTTTCTCAAACAGTTGGTAGGTATCTACGAAGGAAAACCACAACTACCCCACCCATATGCGTGTGTGTTTTGTTGAGGGGTACCCCTTTTTTGGTGGTTTTAAAGGAGCACTGGAGCCCCCCCAAACAACACCCCCCATACATGTGTGGCACAAACAATGGCATTGTTCCTTGGGGTTCTCTCGGCATTCTCGGCGCAACCTTCGGAGCGCCCGGCCGCGCTTTGAGCCGCGCCTCCGTGTCTTGCCGGAGCTTGGCTGCCTCGAGAGGCTCGTTTCTCGCGCATCGGCTTCCCTTCGAATAGGTTAACATACCATTTTGAGGGTAGCTTCCCTTCACATGGATTTCAAGGAAAACCAAAAGGAGAAAACCAAAGAAAAAAAAACGTGTTGGAGACCAACACTTTTTTTGGACGCACAACTCAATTGATCTGAGAAAATGGGGGATCAGTGTTCCCCTTCCTTTCCTCTGAGCTGAAGGTTTTCTGGAAAGGGGCCTAGTAATTCCCCGGGCAACACATCTGGTGAAATTTGTCAAAAGCCGATCCTTTCCAGGTTGCTGGATGAAAGGAACATTTTGTGGAACGCCAAAAGGCCAAAGAGAAAAACAAAAAGTAAGTGAAAAGTCTGGTGGGCTCAGATTCCAATGATCGAAATCTTTAACTGAGTTGCCCGACCTCGGGAAGAAACGCTTTTGGGGCTGTTGCTTGCGGTTTCCTCGGCCTCGTCGGGTGAAAGCGCCGCAGCCACTGGAAGCCTAAGATCGATCTGGATCGACCGGCTGCCTTTTTGCCCGCGCTCACCGCTCGTGCACCCCAAGTAAAAGGGGGGCTTATTGCAATAGATTGACACCATCGGATATGTAAAATGGTCATGTAGAAATTGATAGGGTTTACTACAGATGATACATGGTCATTGAACAAATACTGACACCATCCTATAGTGAACATCTGCATGAAACCCAACACACCAGCCGTTGCAGAAGAATCTCCTTTCGGGAGGGAGAGATTCGACCTCCCATTGTTGGGTTTCTTCTCTTCATTTGGGGGTAGCCAAGGCGACATCTTCAGATCTCCGCATCTGAGCTTCCTGCCATTCCATCCTCGCTCGTGGGAAGGGCGCACTTTCCGCGCCAGCCGACACGGAGGGATGTGTCACACGAGTCCTTGACGAACATTGTGACATGGCGACCAAAAGCTACTCCTTGAATCACCCAAATGAATGGTGTCATCTCTGAGGGCATCTATGTTGAGTTCTTTCGAACGGCAACCCGAGGGAAACCTACGCCCTACTTGGCAGGTTCCATATCGAATGTTTCGACAAACCCGTGTAAGGATTCCTGTCACAGAACTCAGTGCCGCGCTTCTCAGTTGTCCGCCTTTTTGAGAATCCAAAGAGGAACTCTGGATGCGTGTTTGGGCTGAGGCTTTGGCGGTTTTTGACTTTTGGGAGACCGTCCTTTTTGGGGGGCCGCTTGGCATAAAGCCATTCTTTTTTGTTTGGTTGTTGTTGTTGTTGTTGATGTTTTTTTGGGAGCATTTCGTGCTTGTGGGGGTGTTGGAAAAGGGAAACTGTCCTTGTGCCAAGCAACATCTGATTTTGAGAAGAAAAACCAAAACATGTGAGCCTCGGTCAATCACACGTCTCTGCAGGCTCAAGGCTTGAGCCGTCCACTCGGTCGCCGGACTGCGGGTAAGGTGGGGGCAGTGGACAGGAGGGCAACAGTTTGCTCCTATAATCATTGATCCTGACTAAATACGATTTTCATCCCACAGCCTCATTCTAACAAAATAGACGTCTAGCAGTTTGCATAGACTTGACACCTTGCTGGACATCAATTCCATGGGGGGGTCCAATCCATCTGCCTGAATCTGCACCAAGTGCTGTGCTTCGAGTGCCGTTCCGGCTGGCCAGGGAGTTCTGGCCGGATCATGGAGCTCGGGTGCTCCAACGATTGAACATCACCTCACTTGGCCAGTGACCAGCCCAAAAAAAGTGTACACTTTTTGGGGCACTAAAATAAAGGGAGAGCCACTAAGGAAAAAAGTGTAAAGTGTGTCCACTGGCTGGGTGTGTCACCTTGGGAAATGCCAGTTTCCACGAGCTGTTGAACTCACTGGGCATACAACGCCGGCGTCAATGGGAGCCTTTCAATCTGATCGATCCTTCCGTAACAGGCGAGGGACGGGGACTTCTTTCCGCGATCCAACTAAGCTTACCTCGAACCCATGCTTCCAATTGTCGCCTGACACCCGCAGTTACCCTCCTGCCAAAATCATGTGGGACGTCAAACAGGATTCCTTTCAACCAACAACACGAATCCTCTGAAATGGATGGTTTCCTCCTAATTGGTGGGGTGACTTTTCCTCCACAGCTTCTCATCTATGCTTTGTCTGGGTTCTATATGCTGACTTCTTGGTGGCATTTCTCTTTTGGTTGGTTTTGGCTCTGAGAGATCAACAGGACACTGTTCCCACTTTGCAAGTCCATCTGTATAGCTCACGCACCGGAAAGAAAGGCGCCTGCATGGCTGAAGTCGCTTGTTTTACCCCATCCGTGAGCTTGTTCAAATATGGCCCCGAGTCATAGTTGCAGATTATTTCCTTGTATATTTGGGTAAGCGTCTAGATAGGGAGCCCCAAAACGGTGATGGTCCGTTTGCTTCCCCTTTGAAACCAGCCCAAAGTACCCACAAATCACACAATTCCATATTTAGTCGACCCCGAACATATATACAATCATTTTGGAGGAGACCGCGGCAAAAGTCATGGAAGCTGACGATGGGAGGATGCTGGAAGACTACTCTCCTTCCAGGAAAGCTCCAAAACGTTTATATCCAGGATTGGTGGACCAAAGGGGGGTTCTTTATACGGTAGTTTCAAAGAAAAAAAACAAATGGGAAAATCCATTTTGAGACAAGGCCAAATGCTACCCATTTGGCCACGAGCAACCACTCTCTGGGAAGTTTCCTGGTTCTCCTTTTGCTCAACCCTTGCGGCCGTGCGCAAGTCCAGCACCGTGAACCGCACTTCCGTCAGCAGGTCCCTCGGGTGAGCGCTTCGAATCGACCACCTGATCCGAAGGAAATACTGTGGATGGACGAAATCGTGCACCACCCAAGACCCCATGAAACACCATGGTTTGTTGGTATTACAGGGATCATATCATTCTAGGGTTTCGTCCATCCACAGTATGTCTACCTCGGGGTTTCACATGGTTTTGCTTTGCCCGGGGTAACTGGAGTGGGGTCAGACAGCTAGGGGCACCGCCCGCAAAATAAAAGTACCCGAGCTTCGGGAGGGGTTGAAGACCCTTCTGGTGGTCTTGAAGGGGGGCAACGGTGATGTTTTTAAAGGGGTTCAAATACCTCGGAAGGTACTGGGGCTGTGCCCGTGCCAATTTTAAAACCAGAAGGATTGGGGGGAAACCTAAAGGACAATCCGCCGACACACATCTAACAAACCCAGGGCAGCCTCCCGGCGCATTGACTACAAACCGATAAGTCAAATCCTGAAAGGGATCTGCACCAACCTCGATGCAAACCCCTCTCAGTGGGTTTCTTATGACTGCGGTTTGATTTGATTGTGAACTTAATAAGGACCCCTTCCCAAAAACAAAGCACATGCTTGTGTTCTGCATCAAAAATACCGGGAACTGGACTGCAACTGTTTTAGACGTCTGTTTCTCTTGCACTTCGCAGGCCAGGAGCCTCAAGCCACAGAAAAGGGCCGTTCATGGCAAAGAAAGCTTGGTCAACTAATTAAAAAAAGGTCGACTGAAAGCGTCCTTTGTTTCAAAGGACAATGACTCGCAGGATCCTGAATGATTGGCAACCCACAGAAAACACTGCTTGACAAGTCGGGAAGGTGGGAAGAGTCTTCCTCCGCCTTCATACCATTGGGCATTTTGCTTGCCTTGCGTAAAATGATAACCCTCACAACTCAATATGTCATGGACAAGAAGCTTGGCACACCCGCAAGAAGCCATTAGCAATGTTTCTGCGGGGCAAAACACTTTTTTTCCAATATAGACACGGGTGAGCAAAATTGCGAATGGACACTATCGCACTATGTTGCAACAACATTTACCAGAAATATTAATCCAGGAGCCCCTCCTCGGTTTCTGCCATGGTTAAGAAGTTTTCCCCGTGACCCGTTTGTTGCAGCCTAGGAAAGGGCTCTTGGGTTTGGGAAAACCCTAAAGACGATGCCGAACATGGCGTCTTGGGTCGCTCATGGTCTTTCCAATACCATTTCGAGTGCACCCGGGTGTTCTGAAAGCCGAGGGAACGCGCTCCCTGTTGTTTGGGAAACCCTAGACACCACAGATTCTGGCCGTTCCGTGGTTAGGAATCCTTCTTTTCGGAAAGCGGCCCAAACCCGTGGAAAGAGGGGGTTCCCAACAAAGCACCATTTCGTCGAAAGAAGTGGGAATCAATCTTTGGACGACCAACATCTGTGTCTAATCCAGTAGTCTGAAACAAGCTCAACAATGAAAAAGAAGGCCAACAAACATTATCCTCAAACAAACCAAAGATAGTCAAACAACCGACAACCCTCAAAAGACACCACACATGATCAAACTAACAAATATCTTGATCAAACAAAACCAAACGCTTAAAAATAACAAAAGCAAGCAAGCAAGCAAGCAAGCAAGCAAGCAAGCAAGCAAGCAAGCAAGCAAGCAAGCAAGCAAGCAAGCAAGCAAGCAAGCAAGCAAGCAAGCAAGCAAGCAAGCAAGCAAGCAAGCAAGCAACCAACAGACCGAGCGACCGACCGAGCAACACGACCAACAAACCACCCTCTACAAAAAAGCGTCCCTAGCAAATCGCATTCCGCGGCGCAGAAGCTCTTCTGGCTCCAGGAGCTGCGAGAGGATCTGGCAGCCTCGCTTGGGAATTCTCAAGCCGAAGGCTTGGGAACCCTTTCTCGACCAATCGGGATCGGAATACTGGGGTCCGTTTCCCCATGGCTCACATATTACATATATATATACACCAGAAGCCCTCCGTTTTTGGCCTCTCATATATATATATATATATATATGTATATATAATATGCATGGGTGGGACCCCTGCAGGTCGGATTGGAACCTGGAGTCACCGGGGCTTTGAACAGTGTTCCGTACACACTTCAATATCAGCCCGAAAGGGAACTCACTTTCAATTGGCCCAACCAATGCTCAACACCCAAAAGCAGAAATCTGGAGCGACGCCATCTTCCCCAGGATCGGTGACATCTGCACCGTCCGACTGGATGAAAAAGGTCCCAGTCGGGCCCAAGAAAAGGCCAGCATCGAAACGTGACAATGGCTCGTCGATTTTTTTATTCAGGCTCGGCATGCTTGTTGTGCGCCTGTAATGGAAACCAAAAGGGACACCGCCAACTCTGGGGTCCCCCCCCCCCAAATAAACGGCTAGAGATACGGGTGTGGGTCAAAAATTGGTACCCAAAATGGGTTACTCTGGTAAATGGAAACAAGGACTAACGCCTGCGTTGCCCTGGTGCTTGAACTTTGACCCACGCCCATATTATTATATAATATTATATGACGATTTGAGAGGAGCCCACGGCAAAAGACGAATTCCCCTCCGACAGCAAGCGGCTGCTCACCGTGGGCCGCATCTGCGTGCTGCGCATCAGCCGCAGCAGGCCGCAGCTTCGGTCGCGCTGCCCCGCCGAAGCGCAAGCAGCCAGAACCGCGCTGAAGCCTTGGCGCGGAAGCCTCGCCATAGTATGCCTCAAAAAACCTGTACCAAAATGGGCTGCCCTGGTAAGTGGAAGCATGGACCAAAACCTCACCGGAAAGGGCATTATGGCCATGAGTCAAAATCCAAAAATCCCGTGCCCCCAGTGAACATCCCAATCCCCACTAAAATAGGTTCTCAAATGGGTGGTGCACATACCTCAAAATGGTACCATTGGTTTTGAACTATGGCCATATCTAGATAGCCAAGTTGCTGCTTTTTTCAGTCACTGTTGCTGGTCTTTGTGGCAAAGGGCATGGAAAAAAACGGCAACTGGCGCTCCATGTAGTGCCGGAGTCAATATTTGGGGCGGTTTCCCTTTAACTGCAGTTGGTTCCCTTGACTTTGATAGGGATGAAATCATGGGGCCTGTAGTGGTGATGTAACCCTAGATTCCAGTTTGCAAAGCTTTCGAGGGCAAGAGCTCAAAAACACCTTGGAATGTCCGCGCAGAAAGCTCCTACCCGCAGCCCCAACACCACCTCCGCCACAAGAACGGGATGGCCAACCTCCGTTTCCTCAGGTGGCCTGACAAACCGTCTTGGGGGAAATCAATTAGAGAACCCCATGCGTGCTGTCTGACTGTTTGGGCGTCGGGTGGAAATGGCTGTGCAAGCGTCAGCATGACAAGATAATCTTCGCTGTCCGCTTTTGAAGAAGGTAGGCACCACTACTGCCTCGAAAGAACTCAGATAGGGTCATCAAGCCCAGCTTGCTTTAGGGTTCAAGTTTGGGGTCAAGACACTGTGGGGTTCAGGAAGGCTCTGTTTAGGGTTTCGTTCGGGTTGCTTCAGGTTTCGGTGTAGGGCGTTTTCCAGAGTTTAAGCTTAGGCACACCGAACGTTTGCTGCCCGCATTTCTTCCACGTGTCTTCGACGGAACTAGCCTTCCCGTAGCCCTGCCACTAGGCGGGTTTCCACGGGCCGGCGGGAGATCTCAGGTCAACGCGTGTGTTGCCCCGGAGATTTTGGCACAGCTACCAATGGCCATGATTTTTGGATTGGGCACTTTGAGACATCCCTTACCCCCCAAAAAACATAGCCTTCTCTGCACCTGCAAACAAATCCTCCCTTCAACCTGAGCACACAGCGTCAGTCGCATTGATTGAAAGCGTGCCCGATCTCATGGTCGGCCGCATCCCTTCGGGATGCTGCAGGTTTGCTTTCGGAGTATTTCTATACAAACCAACATGCGGTTCCATGCCTGTGCCGGGCCTGCACTGCGGCAGGCCTCGCGCACTCCGGGCATGGCTGCCATGAATAGGTATGACTGTTGAGCGGGCATCATGTACCCAGCCCCAAACATTATAGCCTTCTGTTGCACTTGTATCCGCCTGCAGCATTTCAAGTGCAGAGATTACTACTTCCTGTTTCAGAATGGTGCTCACGAATGATCTATTGGCGGGTTGGCAAACGATGCGGCTCCTGAGATCGATCATTCATCAAAAGCTTTGAGCTGGCACTCCGCCAAAGTGCCCAGCTTGGCAAAAGCCAAAACGCGCCATAGAGAGTCCCGCCAAGCAAAGGAGTTCCATCAAAAGTGGCCAGGCAAAGCTGTATGGTACCTTGGCTGCCTAGCAGCAGACCCGTGCACACCGCTGCTGCAAGCAGTTTGCGCACCATCGAGCGGCAACCAGAAGTACATTGAACGCAAAGTTGAGTCCCCGCAAGCATTGCTGGTGCGGCCACAAATACACCAACTACTCCGAGGAGCAAGGATTCCAGTGCAGCAAGGTTGTTGCCGGCGTACCATCTGCCTGCTGCAAAGTCCATCTGCATCCACATTGCTGGCAGGTTGGCAACAACATAATAATGGTAGGAACACAAAAGTCCACCCAAGTGATGCATCAATGCGCCCTGCATAGATTGCTGCACTGACTGTTCGAACTCCTCCTCAGACCCGAACCAGATCCTTAGGCATTTCACCAGGGTGTGGCGGTCGCACGTCATGGGCGTGCCATCCTTCTCTTTGTGCTCCTTCTGGCAGCAGGCGCAGGTGGTGTCCGCAGTTCGGAAGTCTTGCAACTGCTGACGCATGGCCTGTAGGGTGGAGCAAATTGAAGAACAAACTGGCTCAACTAGGTCCTCCAATAGAGAGGTTAGAATAAGGGTACCCTTTTTCGGTAGTCTATTTTCGTAGGGGAGCCCTCCCAACCAAAAAAGTTGGTAAAAGTTGGCACTACTGGGGGACCTAGTCAAGGGAAGCCAAATGCACTTCGGTTCAACAGTTTCAACATGTGGCAGGAGGCCCAACTGGCCTCCACTGAATCGGTGAAATTGAGCAGTATTGCGCTGGACAGCCACCCGAGAACACACAAGCCCGCCACCACCGCATAGAACGTAAGCTCGCTGTCGAAAGGAAGGAAGAGACTGGTAAAGGAAAACAGGATGGTCACCATGAAGGTAAAAACGCATAAGATTGCAATTGATAAGGGCAGGACCAGCATATCTCGTGTCTCATGCGTTCTGAGAAACGCGGCCAATTCGAAGATGCACCACAACCTCAGGCAGTAGCTGCTGTCCCAAATGACCAAGAGCTTCTCAGATCGCTTCAAGCAGGCCCCGATGTTCAGGACGCCCTCCATTTTCCGCTTGTGATTTCTTTGATCTATGCACAGACGATCGAAGAAAACCAGCTCACGGGGCGGCCGAAATATCAACACCAGCAGAAAAGTGAACATCCCTGCAGGGTTGGCTGTGGCTTTGTAAATGGAAACAAAACAGTCGCTGACACAATCCTGGTTTAGATAGAATTCGGCAAGTAGGTTTCGGCTGGTAGATAAAAAACCATACACTGGAAGCATGCTTCGGCTGCCGCGGGTCTGGAAACAGGTAGACACAGTGCCTTCCCGGGCCTGGTTTCGCCAGCACGGAGCGCTTACGCGGGAGCTGCTTTTGGGACTCGGACAGAGACGAACTTGAGGCGAATGAAGAAACACTGCACGAGAAAACCACTCTGAGAAGCTGGTGTTGACTGGGCAAGGGCAAGGACTGAGGCAACACGACAAGCTATGAAAGGCCTTTGGCCACAAATTGCAGGCGAACCTACGGCCCTACGCGGCCTGCCCTTGTGTAACGTCTGCGTTTTGCCTTGACAACAGCTATCTTTTGTATTGACTGGTGGGCTAGTGCAACACTCTAAGTAGCCCGGAAAAAAACACCTTTGCTCTGCCAGCCAGGCGCGCCACTTTTCTTGGTAGGGTTTCCGTGTCTGCACAGTGCACCTGCTGAAAGCCTTGCCCAGACAGAGCCTTCATTCGATCAAATAGCTTGCCGTTGCAATTTGCACAGGTGGCAAGAACAACAATCACAGTGCGCGCGTATTCTGGCTCGTTTTGAAAATGCCACTCAGAGCCACTCAAGGCCAATCAAGCCTGCCAGCCACCCAAGGCCAGTCAGACCTGCCAGCCAGCCACTTCAAGGCCACTTCAAGGCCACTTCAAGGCCACTCAAACCCGTCAGCCACTCAAGCAGTCAAGGCCACTCATATCTGTGAGCCACTCGTGCCCCCAGGTTTGAGCCTTGGGCTTAGGTTCGAGAGTTGGGCTTGAGTGGCCTTGAGTGGTCTCCAGTGACAGTGTCTCGTTGGACCACTTAGCCGCTAGTGGCCTTAAGTGGCTTGTTTGCATGGCCCACTGCATAAGCAAGGCTTGCACGCTACCAGCCAGAAGCAAGCTTGAATCCTAAAAGTCGGCACAACCCAAGTTCCTCTTCGCGACTTGTATGAAAAAACAAGCAAGATCGACTCCGGCAAACCTGAGTCTCTGACTGTATTGAAAAATGTGTGGGCTCAGGATCGACACGTGGTGAGAAAGATTTGATGTAAGCACAGATCTAGCTCATTGAGAACACTGAGACGTGATGTAGGTAGCCAGATGCTGGGAAGCTTAGTCTCGGCCTGCAGGTTCTGCGAGGGCTGCGGGGTGGTCGGGGTGGCTGTGAGGTAAGGTTTTACGAGGGTTGCCCCAGAGCCCCACAACAGTTCCACAAGCATTTCACAAGAGTTCCACGAGCTTCAAGGGGTGGTCCGGGGCACCGTGGCCCTCTCGTGGAAGCCTTGCAGAACATTGTGGTTGCGGAACCCTGTGGAACCTTACCTCAGGGCTGAGGTTCCACAGGTTACACAAAGGTTCCACAAAATTTCCACAAGGGTTCCACAAGGCCACAAAAACCCCACGAGGAGCTGCGAAGGCTGGGGTGGTGCGGCACAAGGGTTTCACACTGGGTTCCACGAAAAAGGGTTCCACGAGGCTGTCAGTAGCCTTCCGCAAAATGTTCACGGATCCTGCGCCAACCATTATCAAACACGCGCTGGGAAGTTGGGCTCAACTGGACTCGAGAACTTCGCTTTGCAGCGACGTATTCTCGCGGCACTCCTCGGATCATGCAACTTTAGTCTGTGCGCATTCAGCGCGCTCTGCCGACAAATGTGCATGGCTAATCAGTACATCTTCCTCCACAAGGTTTGCTTCTGTAAGCCCCTCCGCGGCACAAGACGAGTACATAGCCAACACTAATTTGCCCATATGAATTGTATGACCACGGGCAATGTTCACTGTGCCCCTAACTGACATGTGAATTTGGGGGAGCATCCCCCATTTGCTCATGGTATTACTTTAAGGATTGCTTGCCCAATGTCCTTCCCTTGCTACTGTAGACCGTAAATGGGACCAACCCTGCCTGTGCACAAACTCCACGGCCCCACAAATACGGCCACATCGTTGGTAAAGCGACCAACTTTCATGAAGCCTCAGGGTTGCTCAAAGGATATTCTTCTTGTTTTTACCTGAAACGGGGCAAGAAAGGCTTACATTTGCTTAAGCCCCCGAACAAAAAGGAGAACATATGCCCAGTAGTGATAGATTCCCTTTAAAACCAACAAGGTTAAATAAACAAAATCTTCATTTCAGTAAATTAAAAAGGGCGTCTTTGTGAAGCCTCGCCTGGTAACTGCCCAAAGCTGAAGAGAACCATCATGACAGCTGCACTAACGCAGCTGGCCAGCGCGGCCGGCTTCCAGTTGTACAATAAGAGCAAACCTGGGCGAGGGGTGTGGCTGAAAAGTAAACAGGAGGGGCAAACCACAGGAGGGGCAAACCACAGGAGGGGCAAACCGCAGGTTTTGGTCCATGTTTCCACTTACCAGGGTTCCATTTTGGCACCGGTTTTTTGAGCCACAGCCGGGTTGCGTCGTTATTGGACACCTGCCCGAAAACGTTGGTAGGTGTTGACGGATTTGGAAAGACCGAAAGACAAGGTTGGAGGTCACTGGGCAGCTGAGAAGCTCAGTGTTTTCCAAAAAGGTTTTGACTGCCAGCTGTGGGAAACAAACTTGCGGATGAATTCCACTTCCTTGCTGACGAGGGAGGAATCGTAGGAGGCCCCGCGCGCTCTCAGCGCGCGGCCCATGCATTGTGTGATGCGATATGCTGGCGTCGCTCGGAGAAACCTGCGGTGTGTCAACTGCATCTCTGCCAGCCAATCTGCCAGTCCGGCCGCCAATGCGTTGGCTGAGTCGATTTCGTTGAGCGAAGTGTCGACATCGTTGCTCAGCGAGCCGCCGCTGTGACAGCTGACTCTGCCCATTGTGTCAGTTGCCTTAGGAAGAATGCTGCCACTCGTCTCTTTGGCCACTGGCATGTCGACATCGTCATGCCGGCTTGCTTTGTCCATCGCACACCGAAAAAAACTGATATGGCTGTGGGTCAAACAAATGTGCCCAAAGCACCTGGGCAAATGGAACCTGGCCCAGCTGTTGAATTTGAGCCACACCCATGCAGAAGTTCATGCTGCCATTTCAGCTTTTGAGATCGGGGCTTGGCGTGCCAAAAAGTCGAAGGATAAGAGCGGTGAGTGCACAATTCATCTGGAATAACGCTGCTTAAAGGGTGCCAGCTACAATTTGAAGATTAGGGTACTTTGTCCATATTGAATGGAGAGTCGCAGTCTGGCTGACGCCGGCCCTGCAACTACTGTCCGCAACTGGACCAGTTGGCAGGTCGTCTCGGCAGTGCAGGACGGATGGCGAGGCTAGATGCGCCTAGATTTAGAACACGATGAGGGATCCCAACAGCACAACAGCTTGCACAGCAGACTACAAAACTGATTCTCAATGCAATGTGCTTTGAGCCTGCCTGACTCCGATCCAAACAACTGGGGCTTGTGTCGAGATAGGGGACCACAGAGACACACAGACACACAGACACACACACACACACAGACACACAGACACGCAGACACGCACACACACACAGACACACAGGCACACAGGGACACACAGACACACAGAGACACAGACACACAGACACACAGGCACACAGACACAAACAGACACACAGAGACACACACAGACACACACAGAGACACACACACACAGAGACACACACAGAGACACAAACAGAGACACACACAGAGACACACACAGAGACACACACAGAGACACACAGAGACACACACAGAGACACACACAGACACACACAGAAACACACAGACACACACAGACACACAGAGAGACACACAGAGAGACACACAGAGAGACACACAGAGACACACACAGACACACACACACACACACACACACACGCAGAGACACACAGAACACACAGAGACACACAGAGACACACACGGAGACACACGGAGACACACAGAGACACAGAGAGACACAGAGACACACAGAGACACACAGAGACACAGAGACACACAGAGACACACAGAGACACACAGAGACACACACACAGAGACACACACACAGAGACACACACACAGAGACACACACACAGAGACGCACACACAGAGACACACACACAGAGACACACACACAGAGACACACACACAGAGACACACACACAGAGACACACACACAGAGACACACACACAGAGACACACACACAGAGACACACACACAGACACACACACAGAGACACACACAGAGACACACACACAGACACACACACAGACACACACACACAGACACACACACACACAGACACACACACACAGACACACACACACACACACAGACACACACACACACACAGAGACACACACAAGAGACACACACAAGAGACACACACAAGAGACACACACAAGAGACACACACAAGAGACACACACACAGAGACACACACAAGACACACAAGAGACACACACACAAGAGACACACACACACACAGACACAGAGAACACACAGAGACACACAAGAGACACACACAGAGACACACACAGAGACACACACACAGAGACACACAGAGACACACAGAGACACACACACAGAGACACACAGAGACACACACACAGACACACACAGAGACACACACAGAGACACACACAGAGACACACACAGAGACACACACAGAGACACACACACAGAGACACACACACAGAGACACACACACAGAGACACACACAGAGAGACACACACAGAGAGACACACACACAGAGACACACACACAGAGAGACACACACAGAGACACACACAGAGACACACACAGAGAGACACACACAGAGAGACACACACAGAGACACACACAGAGACACACACAGAGACACACAGAGACACACAGAGACACACACAGAGACACACACAGAGACACACACAGAGACACAGACAGCACACAGAGACACACACAGAGACACACACACAGAGACACACACAGAGACACACACAGAGACACACACACACAGAGACACACACAGAGACACACACACACAGAGACACACACACAGAGACACACACACACAGAGACACACACACACACAGAGACACACACACAGAGACACACACACACACAGAGACACACACACACAGAGACACACAGACACACACACACACAGAGACACACACACACACAGAGACACACACACACACAGAGACACACACAGAGACACACACAGAGACACACACACAGAGACACACACACAGAGACACACACACAGAGACACACACACAGAGACACACACACAGAGACACACACACAGAGAGACACACACACAGAGACACACACACAGAGACACACACACAGAGACACACACACAGAGACACACACACAGAGACACACACACAGAGACACACACACACAGAGACACACACACAGAGACACACACACAGAGACACACACACACACACAGAGACACACACACAGAGACACACACACAGAGACACACACAGAGACACACAGAGAGACACACAGAGAGACACACAGAGACACACACATTTAGATCCTCATACGCAGAATTGCGCGAGAGATTAGAAAGAAGACCTTTGGCTTGCACGGTACCCCCTCTTTGCAAGCATCATGGAACGTCAACAGAAGGCCTCTCTGAGAGGACTGTCGGCTTCCCGAACCTTTCCGTCGGCTTCCATGAAGCCAAGATCTTAGGTAAGAAGGAGGGCTGAATTCGGGGAATAGGAAATCCGATTGCGGGAAAGCCCCCCTGAAGAAAAAGGTCATGATCCACCTTATGATGGAACATTCGCACTTGTTTTCCCAAAAGTCTCTCCGCCTTTGGGTTGTTTACCCAATCGCCCTGATCCTTTGTCCAAGTCGCCCAAAAAGCTATCAAGATTTAATTGCTGTGTCCGCCGCAGAAGGCCCAGTGCACCTTCCCAGCGCTGAGCCTTCCTTAGATTCTGCAGCGTCTCGGCGAATCTAACCAAGGCGTTTCAAGTACTTCCCTAACCAAAAGATGCGGTCACCAATTTGGTTTCCCTTGAAATACCAACCCTGGCAACGAAACCCGTTGCCTTGGAGCGTGGGCCGTTCAAAGGTGTGAAATACTCCCAAGTTGCACCCGGATAAAGCAATTATATGGCGTTTCGGTGTCCTGGTTTCCCTCAAGCAAAAGGCCGGGCTCTTCCGAAATCCATATGTAAAGACCCTGACTGAGGGCCGTAACTCTCACGAAAGCTTCGAACGACAAGGAGCCGAAGCCAAAATGCGTGATTTTTTGCATAAGGGTAGACCTGGTGCCTGAAAAACAAAACAAAAACACCAACAGCCTTGCTCTGGAGGTTCATTCCCCCATGTTCAGCCATTTTTCTCAAAATCGCCGTTTGCCCTTGCGGAATTCGGTTTTCTGGATAGATCCGGATCGGAAACAAGTGCTGGAATGTGCCGCTCAGGCTTCCTGATGCCTCCCCTGATGTCACCCAATCAGAGACTCAATTGAACAAAAGGCACGTGAAAACACCCAAGAGCGAGGCTTGAATCACCCTTGAAAAAACATAAAGACCCCTGCACAGTGGGATGCCAACATCAAGGTGCCACAGGTTTGGAGGTATCACCAAGAAAACTGTGCGGTGTCATGCTGCCATAGGTCAGGAAATCGTCTCACTCCATAAACCTTGGAAAGACCCAGGGAATATCAGCTGGGTGCCAAGCCGCACTTCAATCTGCACCTCGGGTTCCTGACGGAACTCCGAGGATGTTCTTCAGAAAAACTCTACTAGGTTTTTCCAAATTTGAGAGCTTACAACAGGTTGGTACCGACTTTTTAACTCTTTTCGTCTATTTTAGTAGGGCCCCGAACCCTCCCAACCAAAAAAGGAACCGCAGATCCCAGTTCGCAGGCCCGACGACGCATCGACTCGCAGGCGAGCCGCTCGCATGCACTGATGGCGGCGTGGTAACTGACCACCTTGGCGAGCCATTCTTTCATTCCACAGGGCGAAAGGTGTGCCTGAAAACAAGGGTGCCCCCAAAATTGCCTTGCTTTCTGGTGGTTTCAGGGTAAAACCACACAAAAAAGGTACCCTCTTAAAAAACGGAGCCGCCCGCAGCTGTGGTCAAGATCCAAGTTTTGCCAACAGAGTGAAGCAACCAGTCATTCATGTGGACTGGACTGGGACGGCTGTGTTGGACCAACTTTCGGATTTCTGTAGCCCCAAAGAACCTGTTTTTGACGGGGTCAGGGTTGGGCGATTCAACCCCTGGATCAAACCTGTAAATGGATAAAACAAAAACACCTTTTGGAAAGCAGCCTTAAGATCAGAGGCTTGTCTTCCCACAATTCATACCCATGCTTCAGAGCTCGCCCCAACCCTGGCTCTTGAAACTTCAGAGCTCCCAAGCCGACTTTCTTGAAAACCAGTCTTCGCCACCCGACCAACCCCACACTGCCGAGCGACGTCTGGAGTTTCCGGGCCGCCCTCCAGAAGCTCCAGCGCATGAGCCCAAGGGCCCCGAAGGTACCTGGCCACCAGAGCAAATCTCTAAGCCCCAGCTCCATAGGTGCATGTACATGAAGGTAAAAACATATGCTAGCTCCTCCAGATTTGAGAGCTTAGAATCGGTTGGTACCAATTTCTTTTTTTTCTGTAGTCTGTTTCGGTAAGGGAACCCTCCCCCAAAAAGGGTACAGGGCACCGGGGGACCTAGCCTGCATATATCTATGCATATGCTTATATGGTACCGTGTCGTGTGTTCCCAACCCCCCCTTCCGTGCCCGATCCATCCTGGCACCCCCGCAACCCGAGCGTTTAACCCCGAATTAATCAACCAACTTGAGCAGACAGAACCCACCCACCAAGCTGAATCAACCCTACTCTAAATAAAGCAGCTCTAGACGCTCCATATGCACAACAAACAATTCAAACAGACACACAAACACGTAATTATGCACTTGGCAATCTCTATAAGCACACAAGAACATGCACTACGCACATACATGGTTGAGTCGAGCAAATAAATACAAACACATACTGTGCTGCACATGTTTATCCCATTAAGTACATACACATCATATCTAGATTGTATATACATATGTACCAAATCAGGTATACTATCTCAGCTTATATATACATATATACATATATATATATATATGTGCTTATCACAAGCAGTAACATACAACCTCACAATATGTATGTATTCTATATATGTACATGCAAAAGGCTTTCTGCCCGCTTCACTTCCTGAAAGCAGCAAAGCGTATTTTCTGATGCCCGAGCCAGGTGTATATGGCAACTCACCCTGCTTGCGTAGCCCCAACACATGACGTGACAGGGCAAAGCAGGGAATTGATGACAAAAACATCACTGCTGGCCATGGTCAGCCCATGACAAACAGCAAACAAGACAGGCGCGCCGCCCTCCAGGCAGCCAAGGCTGCTGAGGAAACATGCTAGCCTTTCCACGCGCCCCTTCCTGGCTTACAGCTTTTAAAGACACGCTTTGCTTCAGACAGAAGCTGCTGTGTCTTTCTGGACAGGGTGAGTTGACCTAGCTGCTGTAATCCTTTTTTAAGGTACACCCGGGCCGTGGTCAATTGTGACCACCTGCCACGCACCAGCAAATCATCAAGGGTCGCCCCACGCTTGAACGCTGTGGTGGCACCCGCCTCAGGGAATATGGATCCTGTAAGTGTAAATGGGCAACCAATTGGGACCAAAGGTTGCGAGAGGTTCTTTGAGGCATGGCAAGCAGAAAGTCATTTGGCTGCTGCCCAAAGCACAAAGCTGCCAGACACTCTGCCGCAACTGGATCTTTAAGCAGCAATTTTTCCAGCTGCGTGACATTTCTGTGAACAGACTTCGTGTCCCTCAGAAACACCACGTGGTGACCGGACGGAAGGGGTGCCAACTGCACATCCCTCCGTCGAATGAGAAACATTTCACCTGTTCGCAAAAACAAAGAAAAGGCAACAACAATCATGAGAGCCACTCGGTGCTGCTCCCAACGAAAGAGTTGCCCTGCGAAGCCCAAGAGCATGTCAATGGAAAGCGGCGTTGCTCTAGTGGGCATCTCGAGCTTATTCCAAACACTCATCAACTGCCATGCAACTGGCAGATGCCGTTTGGCTTGGGGAACAAAGTGCTGAACGGCGGCCACTGTGTATGTGGCAACGCTTTTAGCTTCGCCCTCATGCCAAAGCCCTTCAATGTACAAAGCCAGCTTGCGGTCAAGCTCTTCCAAAGAAGGGGGTAACTCAGCAAAAGACTCCAAAAACTGAGTGAAACTCAAAAAGACGGTGGCATATCTCTGGCTGGTTTGGCTTGAAACCACGTGAGACCGTAGCGTGCCCAACTTTTTCCTCTCCTCCTTTCTTGCTTCCTTTGTGGCCCGACTCATCACTGGCTGACGTCGTGTCATGTCCGGGACGGTGAGTCAGCAGGGTTGAGGGCACTCTCAACCCAGGCAAGCAGCGCGTAGTTGTTTGTGGCCACAAGCAAGGCAGCAAGTTTGCGGAGGAGGAAGTTGAGCTTTCTGGCGCTGCTGCGGCCCTTATTCCCACGGCCAAGACCACCTGGGAGTCCAACAGGTGTAGGAAACGATGCGAATGAAAGCTGCCTTTTCGACAGCGCCAACGCACGGCATTCAAAAATGCCTGCATCTCCAAAACGTTGATGCGGTCGCTCCCCACCCAGCGGTAGCTCTGGCAAATGCTCCAGGTCCACTTCGTGGGGTCCACACTCGTGCGGGGGTAGGCGTCAGGCAAGGTCCAGTCTCACATCCGAGCCTCGGTACTCCACCCTGACGGAGGTACTGCTCCACCAGTAAGCTTGGTAGATCTTTGTCTCGCTGCTCTAGCTGCCTGTCTGCCATCACTGGTGCCTCTGCATGTTTCATGGCTGCTTTCAGCTCCTCCTCTGGCGCTGCACTGTAGACATGAAGCTCTCGTCGGACCTCTCGGAGGCACCCGCACACTGGGCGGTCTGCCTCAAGTCTTCCAGGAACGCCTCTTGAATGGCTTGGGGCGACTGTGCCTCTTGCACTCCCAAGGTATCCAGCCAGCCCGACACAAGGCAGGCCACCACTCCCAGTGTGAAACGAATCGCGCAGCGCAGCTTCAGCACTGGCCAGCTCCTCATCGGACTCTGGCACCTTCTTCAACATTGACAAGGTGTGGCCCTTCTTGTAGCCCATCAAAGCTTCTCTGTCTTCGGCTTTTAGTGTCCGCTTCTCTCCAGCACCGTTTGTCACCAGGAACTTCTTGAGGTAGTTGTAAGGCGGGTACTTGAACTTCTCCGCCTTCCATCTTTGCATCCCGGCCGGATTTGGGGGCGGCTTTCCTCTGGGATTGCCCTTGTAAAGGTTGGCCTCCGCAGCGTGGGATCCTTCTCACCTTCTTCCCATCGCCAGCCTGGCTCCAACAGCTCCAAGGGCTCCAGCGGGGCCTCCATAATCACCTCCACGAACTGCGGCAAGGCGCGCAGGCTCCCACAACGGGGCCTGAGCTTCACTGGCGCCTTACTCGGGACAAGTGCCGGGAACATGCCAGGACTAGTGCACCCCATCCCAGCGCTTTGGTCATGACTGCCATGTCTTCCTCATCCGGCCACACATTCTCCACGAAGGACAAGCACCACATCCCGAGGCTCTCTGCGATCTCCTCGACCCACTTCATCTTTTCCACCAAGTCAAAGAACAGGGCGGAACGTGGATCTGCCAAAAGGAGCCGCCCACTGTTCAGCTTGGACAGCCCCTGGCAAGGGCTACCGCCTGCACACACCACTCCTGCCAAACCAGGGACTCTCCGCAACATAGTCTCCACCTCTTTCCTGTTGATCTTGGAGATGTCCACCTTCTCCTCGCCGCCTGGCCAAGTTCTCCGGTGTAGCCTTCGGCAGTCCCGATCCTTCTCAATCACCACGAGGTGCCCAGTGAGAGTGAGAGAGTGAGAGAGAGAGAGAGAGAGAGAGAGAGAGAGAGAGAGAGAGAGAGAGAGAGAGAGAGAGAGAGAGAGAGAGAGAGTGAGAGAGAGTGAGAGAGTGAGAGAGTGAGAGAGTGACAGGGTGAGAGAGAGTGAGAGAGAGTGAGAGAGTGAGAGAGTGAGAGAGTCGTTAAAATCAGTGGTTACTCTGCTTACAAGTGCAAGTGTTGTATTGCTCAAAAGTCTGCAGCTGCCAACCTTTTGACTCATGCGGAGTAGTAAGCTCAAGGCCTGCGGTAGTGAACATACATGCAACACAAGTGCAAAGTGAAGCATGTAGTTTGACACGGCCCCTCAGTTAAAAGGTCTTTGTAGTACCTTTTCAACTGAAGTGTAAAACGTGGATTGACAGTAGTGATGAAAACCATTGTTGTTCATCAGTTCTACTGTATTGACAAAAGTAGTGACCTGCGCTCAGTAGTTCACGCTGTTCAGGTTCCAGCTCGATGTAGGGCGCTGGACGGAAGTAGTGAGGCAGGCACTCGTTGTAGTAGAGCAGGAGCTCAAAAATGTAGTCCCCATTTCTGGGTGCGGTAGGCTTGGACCATCTGTAGTCGACTGTCCAAGGTTGCGTAGTAGTTGGTGGTGAAAAAGGTTGTCATGTAGTTTGGAGCTCCCCGTAGTCGCTCATCATCTATCTCGGGGCAGAACATGTGTTGGTCGTACTCCCGTAGAAAGCGGTGTAGTAGTGCTTTGTGGTGTTGTGTGAGGTTTGTCATGGTGAGTAGTGTGAATCCGTAGTATTGGATGCTTTTGCAGAGGATAGTAGCAATTGCTTTGTGCTGGAAGTCGTGTAGTTGGTCTCGGTTGTAAAGGTAGTGGAGTAGTTCAGGTAGCAGTAGTGGCATGTGGTAGTTCCAAACGTAGTTGTTCCTGAGGCTGTAGTTGTCAGTGAAGGTGGTCATGTTGTAGTTCACCTTGTAGATGGTCTGTGGAAGTGTTGTAGTCGGGAGGTAGTAGTTATGTTGTACCGACATCATGTAGGAGATGTAGTCTCTTGTGAAGTGTAGAAATTGTCCTGAAGTGAGGTACCTCAGGAGTAGTGGTTGTTCAATCTGGAGTTGGATGATGACGTAGTTGGTGTTGTCGCCAGTTGTAGTGTGGAGTGAAGTCGTGTGGTAGTAGTGGACATTGGCTGCTTCAGGTAGTGAAACGCTGAGCAGTGTAGAGTTGTAGTGGGGCATCTGAAGATCTCCAGGGATGCAGTGAATGGGTCGAGTGTAGTCCAGTTGTGCCAGTGGAGTAGCTTGTTGTTGTGAAAGTAGTTGATATTCTTCAAGTGTAAATGCAGTGAAAAATTGAGTGTGTGGAATGTTGTCGGGCAGTGGTGGTGTAGTGGTTGTCTGGTGCTCAGTGATGTGTAGTTGGTCCATCACTGTGGTCGGGTTGTAGTAGACGGTGTTGCCGGGTGTAGAATGGTTGAAGTGGTAGTTGGAGTCGTTGTAGGTTTGAGGTGGTGGAGTTCCGTGGTCACTGGAGTCCGTAGTGACCGCCACCTCAGGTGTAGTTGCCCTGTCGGGCGTAGTGGCGTCTCCCATCGT